TGAGGAGGGAAGGGGAGGGGGAGGAGGATAGACACCTGGGTCCCCAGCCTGCTCAAGGCCGGAGGACGGGGCAGCAGGCTGGGCCCGCCAGCCCCAGGGGGGTGTGAGGGGAGGTGGGCTCCTCCCACTGGGGCGCCGTGGTCCCCAGGCCGCTGTGCTGTCCCCGCAGGAACACCGATGCTGGGAGCCCCTCACTCCCGCACCGCACCGAGTGCCGGCTCCCGAAATGGAAGCATTAGCTCCTCATTTAGGAGCTCAGCCGGGCCTGGGGCTCATTTATGAAGCCATCGGCTCCTTCCCTTTCCCTTCGTTTTTTTTTCTTTCTTTTCTTTTCTGTTTTAGAGAAGTTTAACAAAGGCCTCATGGACGTTTCCACGGGGCTCAGGAGAGATCTCTAGAACCCCGCCTGGCAGCTCTGGAGCCCTACTGTGCTGACGGGCCTGCTGTGTGCCTGGCACTGGCTGTCCCCAAGAGCGCAGACGTGGCGGGACCGGCGGGCGCCTGGCCACCTTACCTTGGGCAGCGCGTACTTGGGCAGCTTCATTAGGACGAAGGGCCCGCGGCGGTAGGAGACGTAGTAGTTGGTCCGGTTTGTGGACGTAGCCTGGCGGGAGGGAGAGAAGCTCACAGGAGAGGCTCAGGCCAGCCGGGGCCGCAGGGGCCAGCGCTGCGCGCGTCCCGGGCCGGGCCTCCCCTCACCGTGGGGCAGCCCTCCTGGGGAAGGACGGCGCATGGGGCAGCTCTGGGGCCCGCGTCGGAGCTAGACCCCGAGAGGGGGCTCGAGCCCCGGGCTGGCCCGGGAGATGGAGGCTGGGCGGGGCGGCAAGCCCAGCCCCAGGAGGCCCCAGCCTCCTGACCCGCTGCTCCCCTGGGGGCCACATAGCTCCGCCCAGCCTCGGGCACACGCGTGTGCACTGGGGAGATCAAAAAACACGGCAGGATGCGCAGGGTCAGGCCCGGGGTCGGAGGGCGCGGGGAGGTCAGGACGCTGGTGTGCACAGGGCCATCAGAGCATTGTCCCAGGGGCGGGGAGGGGCCAGGCGGGATGGACCGGCCGCCGCCGGGCGGGGGAAGGGCTGCTGCCCGGGGCTGAGCGCAAGCTCCATGGAGGGGACAGGAAAGCCTGGCCCGCCCGTGACCCGAGCAGGACCCCGGGGCCGTGGCGGCGGCTGGTCTGGGCCCCGGGAGCTGGGACCTGAGGCCTCTGCTCACCTTGAAGAAGACGTACTCGTCCTGCACAGTCAGCGAGCCGGCGTCCACCGGGCCCGCGGCCGCGGGCGTCTCCCCGGAGCAGTTGTGGATCACACAGGTGACGTACCGGAACCCTGCCAGAGACGCGCGTCACATTCCTGCGCAGAGCCGGCTGGCCCTGCCATCCACCCCGGACATGGCACTGTCCACTGCCACCGCGGCTGTGGAGCCCTGGGCTGGCTCTGCCCAGGCCACAGAGCCGGGTGGGGGCTGTGTGGGTCCGGGCAGCGTGGAGAGCGGTTGGGCCTGTGCTGGGCTGGGAAGGGCCACACGGGGGTTCCGGCCCAGACCCCAGAGAGGATGCGGGGGGATCCAACCCCTCCCTAGAGAGGGCCCCCCACTGTCCCCCAAGTAGCCAGTTTCCCTGGGGTAGGTTTGCTTGGATGGACAAGGGTGTGGACAGACGGCTCCCTGGGAGGGCCTCACACCCGCGCCTCCGCTCCCGGGCTCACACCTGTGCTCACTCACTGACTCACTCACTGACCTGCAGGGGGAGCACAGATCTCGGGGGCACCGCCCTGCACCCTGCAGGACCGCCCAGAGCCTGGTCTGCACAGCGACCTTGGTCGGCCAACCTCGTAGCCCCCAGGGGCCACGTGGCTGTGGGGTCTGCGGGGGGGGGCAGTCTCAGCCTGGCGTGGGGGGCGTGGGGGGCCTGTCACTCCCAGTGATGGCCCTTCGCCCAGACCCGAAGGCCAGGGCCTCTTGTTCCTCTGTGCATCCCACAGAGGGGGCCACGGGGGCTGCGCTGTCCATGAAGGGTGATTATGGAGGCTGCGCAGCAGAGGCTCAGGGAGGCTGCGGTCACCTCAGGGCCCTGCGGGGGGAGAGCTGTGAGGGCTGTGGGAAGCGCTCCGTGCTCAGGGGCCCGGAATAAATCGGCCCTTGAATAGACTTCACGCTGGAGCACAGCTCCTCCGCTTTAATTCATCTCCACAGGGAAGCGAGCGCATCCCGAATCATGCCGCGTCGCTGAGCAGCCCGGTCAGCCGTGCGGGCAGGGCCA